CTCTCCAACCCCAGATATAGCTACAGTGTTTTTATGTAATAGGAAATTGACATATTATGAAATATTAATAACTGTTTTTAACTAAAAATGTCTTTAACAAACATGAGCCCAATCTGGGAGTGTTGTGTATCAGTGTGTTTTAGACAATATTTTCCTATTATATACAAAACTATATATGGGGTGGGAATAGGGTACATTCAATGTTATATATAAAAGTCCGATGTTTATATAATGTGTTCATTTTCAACACAAAAAAACAGGAGAAATGGGGGCCAAATCATCGAATTACACGTCATAAAATTTGCTAAAAGAAAGATGCTAACTATATTCAATCAATGTGGTCGTTCAGATCCATGTTTTATGAGTACGATTTCGTGGCAATAGCGAGCTGACACGAAATATGCAAGCACATGTCGCGGTGATGAAAATAGGGTGTGTGTCATTGTTTACATATTGCCAATGTAACGACGATTTTCGTGTCTCGAAACTGCTTAAATAACGTGTTCGTACACTGAAAGTAACGATGGCCGTTGTTGTGGTGACGTATATTTCCCCATAGTATCGATGAAAATGCTATGAAAGAATTCTAACCACCCGTTCTCGGATTTTCCTATAGTAAATGTATGGCCGCAGGAACCAGGCTGTAGCTTCCCTGGCTTTGTGCAGTCTGCCCCCTAAAGGACTTCAATGTAGTGAAGTGAACACACACGCCCACACGCACTCGTGCGCAAGGCAGGGACAGGAATCACTTCGTAAAGTCTGTTTCCCATGCAGTCTCACATTTTTCCCTTTGTGCAATGCAAAATCCCTTTTCGAAGCAAGCCCGGATTTTGCTCAGACTCAAGATAACTAAATCTCCCAGCCCACTGGGGCTACTTTCTAGTGTAAATGGAGATGTTTGGCTGTATCAACATATATGTTTTCAGACACGAAAAATGACACAATGTCAAACACGTTTCCCCTTTGTTATGTTCTATGATGCATTCTAAAAGATGTATCGAAATAGCACAATATGTAAAATTTATGTAACAAACATTCATGTCATTGTTTTCTTTTCAAACAGAAATTGTTAAGAAGATACACTCATTTCACCATAGATGTACTGGACAATAATACCGTTTAGCGAGACAACCACGTTATACAGTCAACAATTAGGTTCGGGACTTGGAACATCGCCGAACTTTTGTCCAAAGTATCCTCCACTGACTTCATTAGTTACCTCGAAGGTTATGATGTGATTTTTGGTTTTGAAACAGAGATTGCAACTGAGAACTTATATATTAATGGACGATTTTATTTGTTTCCACTATCATGGATTACGGATTGCTAATTATGGTAGACATATTGGAGGCATTTGTTTGCTTGGTCGTAAAAGCCTAGCGCCTTATATTCAGGAACTGGATTGTGAGTATTCTAATTTCCATTATGCAAGGTATTTTGTTTGGTCTCATGTCTAATATAATGTCAGGCGGTGTATACATCCCTCAAATTGTTTTCGTCACGATATGGCTGAGATATTGCCGATGTTAAATATTTACTCACTCACTCACTCCTCACCGTTCACCCATATACGAGTTTGAGGATCAGTGCGGTAACATATTGGATCTTGATATAGTGTTACCATATTTGTCAAGGGAATGGCATTAGGTATCTGTTGAAAGATATTGTAAGTTTTTTAAAGATGGATGTTTTCATGATGAATTTCATTTCGAATTCTTGTGTAAGGTGTTGTAAGGGGGTTGAAATAGACGAAAAATGACGTCATCATCGAACACCTGGCTGACCTCATTTTACAGGGGGTGTCAATGACCTTGTACTGAGCTGACCTTGGGATGAACCACTTTCCCAGGGGTATTTTTAGACTCAAGTGGGCAATATAAGGCCCCCGAACAGTCCCCATGTCATTCAGACTTCAGTCGCCAGAGAGAGAACGCACGCATGCTCTTCACTCTATTGGTTCTGATAGCCGTTTACCTCGAAGATAGAAAATGGAAGCCGCTCACCTGATATCCTGAGGAAGAATCACTCAGGTCTAGTGCAAGCTATACAGTGTGTAGAAGAGGTGGTCGACAAACTGGTACATCTTACCATCTTCATGAAGATTGGGAGGTACCAAAACTAAGGCACCAATCACAATGGGAAGTCGGACAACTTGGTAGTCTGGTCACCGAGTCTTCTGTTGCCATACAGAGGCTGGAGATTTGACATGGTGATCTGGTCACTGAGTCTTCTGTCATACAGAGGTTGGAGATATGACATGGTGATCTGGTCACTGAGTCTTCTGTTGTCATACAGAGGCTGGAGATTTGGCATGGTGATCTGGTCACTGAGTTTTCTGTTGTCATACAGAGGTTGGAGATGTGACATGGTGGTTGGGTCACTGAGTCTTCTGTTTTCATACTGAGGCTGGAGTACCAAGTTGTCCGACTTCCCATTGTGATTGGTGCCTTAGGTTTGGTACCTCCCAATCTCTAGAGTGACAATGGGAGAGGGCCTGTTTAAGCTGCCGGGAACACTCTGGGTAACGAAAAGGCTGCAGTGCTGGGGAATTTTCACGTTCTACAAAAGTCAATGGTGTGGGTTTGACTAAGCGGTGCTTTATAGAAGTTTCATTTGCTGTGTGTGCTGCGTGTAGAACGAATTGGATCCCCAAGCTAATAACGAGCCCATCAAGCCTGGCTGTGAAGCATGTCGTCAGAAGAAAGTTCACACAAGGCCAGGTTCTGATATGCTAAGAAGGGATGTTTCCTTGCAGTGCTATCCAAGCTTCTTTCAGATCTCCTAAGCCCAGGTGCAGTTGTTGTGATACTTCTAATCAGTTGTCCTTTACTTGTTTAGTATTTGTATTATCGTCCTCGGTAATTTTGCTTGTAGAAAGGGGCGTATTTGAGATGCTCTGACACATTGGGTCGGTACTGTAAGAAAACGGTGTCCAAGTGTTCATCATTCATTAATTGTACAAATCTGTAGTGGAAGCCGCGGTGGCTGAGCGGGTTAGGCGGCTGACTTTGTGTGCTGGCGAGTAGGTGCCTGACTCTGAGGGTGTGGGTTCGAATCCCGGATGGGATCAACCCAACAAAAGAACTAGAATCTGTACTTTACTAAGAAATTGTAATCCCAAATATAACAGAATATATTGAACAGCAAAAGAAACGTCAGTTTGGAATTTTCCTTCGCAGAAACGGATAACTGTAAACTCATTTAATGTTTTGATTGTATATTTTTTAGAACATCTCAAACTTTACCTGAGCAAAGGCATTACTTCCCAAACTCAGAATGGAACCCAGGAAATGGTCTCAAAAACGCAACCTGATCTCGGAGATGGTTTTTCATGCAACTCATGCTGCACGTGCTGTTCACAAGGACCAGCCCTATAAAATGCACACCCAAACCTGGTTGAAACATTCACATTACAACGTCAGCTCAGAGGAACCAGGCGTTAGGAAGACTTGAAGCTGGCCACACTGCACAAGCCGTTGCCAAGCACTTCCAGATCAACGTCCGGACCATCTACAGGCTGCAGCAACGTTTTGGGGCCACAAAACCCCCAAATGATCGCCCCCGTACTGGCAAACAAAGGGTGACGATAAGACCGCCATGTTGTGCGACAGCATGTACAGAATCCCTTCATGCAGGCATCCGAAACAGCACGTCAGACAGTGGGAACACCCGGAAAACCAATCAGTACTTAACAGCGAGAACCTCCACTGCCGTAGACCTTACCGTGTACCTATCCTCACCCCTCGTCATCGGAGTGGACGTCTACAGTTTTCCCAACAACACCAAAACTGACGATACAGGCAATGGAGAACTGTTCTGTTCACAGATGAGAGTCGGTACTGCGTATCAACTGCAGATGGCAGAACAAGAATATGCCAACGACGTGGCCAGCGTTACTCAGACCAAAGAGACTCATTGGGAGGTGCAAGCATCATGGTATGGGGTGGAATAGGCCTGAACCAGAGAGTGGGTCCTGTGGTGTTCCAGAACCTTGGTCCAGGGAGAGGAGGCGGCATCACAGCGGTGCGCTACATCGACCAAGCTCTCAGACCCCACGTCATACCACATTTCGCACGTCACCGGAACAACATTTTCCAGCATGATAACGCCCGGGCCCATACTGCCAGAGCTGCCGGAACTTCCTACAGCAGAACGGTGTCAGCATTATGCAGTGGCCAGCCCTTAGTCCTGATTTAAACCCAAATGAACATCTTTGGAATGCGATTCAGAGGAGACTGAATAATGTCATACCAAGGCCGAACACAGCCGATTTATTGCGCCAGGCCTTTCTCAGAGTGTGGTTCAAGGTGCCAATGGCCTTCATCAATCGATTGTTGCACTCCATGCATATATAGAAGCTGTGCTGCAGTTATTGCTGCTCGTGGTGGTCCCACTAGATACTGAAGTCAAGAGTCTGAATGGACTGCAAACGTTCACGTAATGTCTTGAAATTGTGCTGAGTTATTCATTGATATGTCAAGACACTGTACACAAAAAAAATGTTTTTGATCCGCTTATTATGTCCATTTCTGTAATGATTTGATTACAGTGCCTATCTAATTTTGAATACGTGCTGCTGCTGAGCATATGATAAACCTGGAGGTATATTTATATGTTTCACCACCAATCGATGAATTTCAGGCCATCTTATGTCAACTAGTATAAAACATGAGTCTGTGGTGGAGGCCGCGAGACATGTTGACGTGATACGAGTACACCCACGCCCAAACTAACAAACATAACAAATTATAGCTACGTGGTCCTTTGCGGATCCTGTGTGTATATATAGACACACAAATACGACACAAATATATCGTTCTGCAGCTGTTATTAGCCTACCAAAAAGGAAAAAGAAATTTGAAAATATTAAGTTGATTCGAACTTGACTTGCTTGTTCGAAATCCTGTGCAGTAACGAGTACGAGACAAAGACTGAGTTACCTCCCTTTTGAACTCTTTCTGGTTGAAAACAACATAGATCCGCGATATGGCGGTAATCTCAAACTCAATATGACTGACGGGGTCGGGAAACGAAAGCGGTTAAGCTTGAAAAACAAGAAACCAACTCTCCAAAGTGCTAAAATTCCGGACAACGACAGTAATGGGAATGTGTGTAAGAAAAGAAAGATTGCCAGTGCCATTACTTCCAGTAACCTGAAGAACATCCCAGAAGAAAATGTACAACTGGAAATCATTTGTCTCTCAGACGTGGAAACCGGCAATTGTAAACAAGTCAAATTAAGGTATGAAGCAGAATCATTATGTTTGTAATATTGGTCGTCTCGAAATTCTCTCTCATGGAAAACACGACCACATGGTTAAGGCCAAATCGTCAGAGGGGACGAGCTTTGTTACCTCCCTTGGTACAGCATCCAACTACAGTGAAGCGCTACTAAAATCTCCATATACATTGCAGCTGTTTCTGTTAGTCATTACGTTTCTCCTTTTCTTTGGAGATGCTATCCCTCCTGTGTTAAGCTATTACATTGGCCCAAAAATAAGCTTTTTAAAGACTTTCTTTGTCTTGACCTAGTAAAATTACCATCTACCAATAATTACTTGTCTCTTCATAAAATGTGCACTGTTAAAACAAAAAAATAGCAATCTTAGCTTTTAACAAATACAATTAAAGCTTATTTCTCAGTGAACAGATTCTACATTTACCTGTCAACAATTGTCCATATCTTCCCATAATAAATCTGCACCTATTTCAAAAGGAAAATCTGTCTTAAGCAAGCATGCCATCTTTTCACTTTGGGTTATAGCTAAAACAGCACCACAGCAGAACGGCACCAAATTTGTTTGGCAAAAATGGCACCATATTTGCAAAAACGGCTACTGATTTCTGGGCTAAAACAGCACCATATATAAAACAAAGTATGACGTTGACTTTTATGATTCATTTCTTTTCATTAGCAAGATTATCTCAACATATATAAAACATTGAGGTTTAATTTATAGTTCATTTCATTAACATTTCTGGTGTCCCCCGTCGTGATATTACAGAGGCATTACTCTTTTAAGTATTTTTAGTAAGGTTTTCACTTCTGTCATTAACAAAAGATTAGTAACTTGAGGAGAGGCATTGAATAAAATAAATGAATCCCAGGCAGGATTTAGACATGGATATACGACTACTGACAATATGTTTATACAGAGACCATATACGGTATATGGTCTCTGGTTTATATTACAAAGTGTTATACAGAGATACCTCAACGCCAAATGTGGTAAACTCTATACACTTTTCGTTGATTTCGAAAAAGCATTTGATTCAGTTGACAGACAAAAGCTATGGTCTAGTTGTAACACCCATGGTCTAAGTCCTAAAATGAAAAAGTTGATTCAAATATGTATGAAAATGTTAAAGCTTGTGTTAAGAATAACAATGAATTCTCAGATTCTTTGAACTACAACTCGGGGTAAGACAAGGCTGTATACTTAGCCCATTTTTATTCTCATTTTTCATAAATGAATTAGCAATCTAAATTGAAAGCAATTGTGAGTATGGAATACAGTTACACCCTGACCTAGTTAATAGTAGTACATATTTTTCTTCTGCTTTTTGCAGACGATATCGTGCTATTCTCAAGCACTGTTGCAGGTTTACAAAGACTTATACAAGAACTTGAGAGTTATTGTGACAAATACAAATTAACTGTAAATAGAAATAAAACTAAAGTAGTAGTTTTTAAAAAAGGGGGACGTTTATCAAAAAACGAAAAATGGTTGTATGAAGGTAAAGAATTAGAATGCACCAGTTCGTACAAATATTTGTGAATGTTCTTCAGTAATTGTTTATCTTGGACAGCACATGTTAATTACGCTTGTTTGCAAGCACAAAAATGCATAATAGGTATCTTTAAACAATTAAATGTACTTGGAGACATAGATATAAGTTCATACTTTAAAATATTTGATGCCAAAATTAAGCCAATTTTATTGTATGGAGCCGAAATATGGGATTTGAATTATTACAAGGATATCGAAAGAGTTCAATTGAAAGCGTGTATAAGATTTCTTGGTGTTAAATCCAATACGATGAACATAATGAATACAATGGTGTATGGAGAATGTGGTAAATACCCGATGCACTTATTTTCAAATATCAGAATTATAAAATACTGGTTAAAATTACTGATGATGCCTTCTTATAGGCTACCAAAGAAATGTTACAATATAATGATGCTATTCGATAAAAATGGACACACAAATTGGGTTTCTTCTGTTAGAAATTTTCTATTCTCGAAAGGGTTTGGTTTTGTATGGAACGATCAGTATTTTGATTCTGAGGGTAAGTTTATTTTAGAACTAACACGTGGATTAAAAGATATCTATTTGCAAGAATGGTTTGAAAAGTTATCACTTTTCAGTAAATGTTTGTATTATAAGATGTTTAAATGTACTTTTGACGCCAGAAAGTGGAAGATTTAAAAATGTCAAAAAAGAAAATAGAACTTGCAAACTAAGTGATCTTAACCAAATAGAAAAGATGAATATCATTTTCTTTCAATTTGCCCTGCTTATAATTCCCTGAGAAAGTTGTATATTAAGAAATATTATTGTGCCCATCCAAACCTTAATAAATTTTCAGCATTGTTAAATAACAAAAACCATACTATACTTCCAAACTTGTCCATGTTTGCTTACTATGCTATTTTGTTTAGGATAGAATATATCTCGGAACACAATGTAACCTACAGTTGACTTTTTTCTCTTCTTCATGTATATTACATGTGCGTGTAAATATTGATTTATAAATGTGTTGTACTACTCAGTACCGGAAATAAATATATATAATATAGCTGGAATATTGCTAAAAGCGGCATAAAACCATACGGTTGATGGAATGGCTTTTTGATAATCTTAAAAGTACCATCCATGAACAACTGTCTACTCGTACTTAAGTTGTGTAATTGCCGGTCAGCGACCACCAGGCTTGTCAGGGTTGATATGTTTCTGTTGAGCTTCCTCTACAATGCTGGCACCGGACTTGTAGATATCAACCACAGCTCTTTCTGCAGAATATATAACAATTACACTGCTCAATTACAGGCCGATTACTACACTACCCAATTAAAGGCCAATTAACAATCTAATCAATTACTGTGACTGTCAATTATTTAACAAACACGATAAATACCTCCACTCTCACGCAGATTGCTGTCAACTGGCCAGGTTGGGGTGGATGACAGTGACGGAATGCTTTTAAGAAGCAAACACATTCAAATACTTTATTTTGAAATTATTGCAGAGATTATCGTTTAATTGTCGACTTCTTGAAATGTTCTTGTCTCTAAACATGTGTATTTTGTGGACATCACATAAACCAAATGAAGTAGTTTGATATTACACGGACATGGTTTTTGGCCAAAAAGATAAGTGACCTTTGAGGATCTTCAATATCTCTGTTTAATACTAATCAACATATTTGAGTATCACTTTCACCGTCACATACATTACTTAGCTACATTTTTGGAAACTCGAAGCATAACTTTGAGTCGCAAAATAATATGTTTAAAACAAAGATTACTTGACAACTCTTGTTGTGTATTTTGTAGGGGTGTAACGATGCATCGAACTATCGATGGATTGCAATTTTTGAGTCTATATATTCATTTGGGAAATGATTTAAAAGAGACAATTCAAGGAGAAAAAAAACCTATTGCAATAGTTGGTCGCAATAGACTATCACTATCACAATAGTAACTTGCAATAGACAATCGCTATCGCAATAGTTGTTTCTCCCTCAATAGTCACCCCAAGTATTTTGCACCTAGTACTCTACTCTGAAATAATCTTATAGTGAATGAATATATATTAACTTAATTTTTCGGCTTTTGGTATGGTCAAATGCGCCCATTTATTGAGAATGAGTGAATTTACTATCGAAATATTCTGCAATCTGATTATCTAATAAAAAACTAGTTTTCCCATAAGATTTTAGATGGTGCCATTTTCCCCATAAGATTTGTAGCCGTTTTCATCAAGTCGAGGTTCCGTTATGTCCAAATGGTGCCGTTTTAGCCAGGTGCCGTTTTGCTGTGGTGACGTTTTAGCCTGAACCCAGAGGCCCAGATAAGCTGCGTATCCGGGTAAAATACTCATAGAAAATTTCCAATTACGCATTGAAAAATAATTGTTGCGTACCAATTACGCATTTAAAATGTTAGATACGAAAAAAGTTTAAAACTAAATGCGTCCGAAATATATTTATAAAAATGGCTTGCGTAATGAAAAAGACATCGATTGCTATCAAGTTGCACTGTTAGTATAGGACTAGTGTTGTACTGTCAGTATAGGATGAGTGATTTTTTTATGAAATCATTTCCATTATATTTAAGTTGGTTTTGATTAGGTATGACATAAGGCAGGACATACCTGCTTAGTAAACTTACTCAATGACGTAATACTTAGGTGAGTAAAATGACTGAAATACGCACTTATTTGAAAGCAGTGGGTAACAGGAAATACAATACCCACTCAACATTCATAATACCCACTCCAAAAAAATACAGTGGGTACAGTACCCACATGAGCTAAATCTTATCTGGAGCTCAGAACCCTTTCACTTTAACAGTCATCCCCACAAGGGTACAATGTGTGAAGCCCATTTCTGGTGTCCCCCACCATAATATTGCTAAAAGCAGCATAAAACTAAACTCACTCACTTAAAAAGTCCATAATTCCTGAATCTCTGAAATGGTTCACATTAATGTTACAGTTCAATAAACATAGTCTTTTAGATATTCTTCGATTTCTCTGTGGTCTTTCCCTTGTGTGGTGAGTCTCTCAGTGGTGTCTGGGTTGTCGGTTTCCGAGTCGTGGTGTCGTCTCGTGCTGACATTGAGTCGCGGTTGTCGTCATCACCGGCTGCTGTCTTCATGTTGCTGACATCGTTGATTTATGTCGTTGTAGTTTTGCCGTCTGCAACAGTCTTACCAGTTTCTGGTCAGGCCCTTGATCATATTACTTCTCTCCAATCTGGCTGTTGATTATCTGTTGGTTGGATTTCTTTCTCACCTGCTGGCTTTGTACTACTGTGTTGACTAACTGGAAGTGGCTGGCATCTCTGGTGATCTCTCTGCCATCCCTTTTCTTCGTGCTTATGCTGCTGAACTTCAGACATGGTAAAGATGGTTTATATGGTGTCGTCCATTTATTCCGTTTCTGCTGTTTCACCATGAAGTAGTCTCCGGCGAGGAAGTACCAGTGAACTTGTTTTCAGCATTGTCTTTTATCTTCTATTTCCAAAATTTGTCTCTCTGCTCCATGTCAGTTTCAGGCTTCTTGAGGTTTTGTCATCATAATCAAGTTTCATTCTCACGTCATAGTTCATCAATGCTCGGTATATTGGTATACCCGCTGCTGTATACGGAGTTTGTCTGTAGCCCATCAGAAGCTCCTGTACACCTGATGTGTTGTCTCGACCCTGAAGGTGAGCGATTTGTTCTGTTTTATTGAGAATGTTCATAAAGTTTTCAGCTTCGCCATTGGCACTTGGATGGAGAGGTGTTATTCTGTGGTGATGGAATCCTTCTTTCCTTAACTCACACAAGTCTACCACCCATCTAGAGTCCTCCGATCCGATCTGCCCAACAACATCTCTTCTCTGTTTCAACCCCACGGCTGAGATGATTTGGTCAGAGATCATTTACTTACAATGCCACCACTCTCTGGAATAAACTCCCAGATCATCTTAAAGGAATCTCTACCCTCCAAATGTTCAAAGACAGTCTCAAAACATTTCTCTTCACTCAGTTCTATAGACTCTAATCATTTCTAGTCGCAATCTCTTAACCTGGTGATGTCATAATCTCTTATGTAGCGCTATGAGCATACACTTTGTGTCTGGATTTGGCGCATTATAAATGTACTTATTAATATTATTATTATGCAAAGTCTGCCATCTGGTGGTCTGTTGTTCGCTCTATTCTTCTTGGTACATCGTGAGTGACGAATATTCGTTTGAGTGCTTCCATGATTGATTCTGCTGAAGTAGAAGACACTATCTCTACCTCAAGGAATCTTGTCCTCTTGTCAATTACAACTAAGTTGTAATGCCCATCCAGATATGGTCCTCCAAGATCGATTGAGAGAATATCCCATGGTCTGTTGGGCATTGGAGTGCTCTTTACTGGTTCTGAAGAGTTATGTCTCCCCCCCGAAGGGTCGGGAGACATATTGTTTTTGGTTGATTTCTTTCCGTCGGCGTTGGTTTCGGCATTGGTGCCGGCGTCAGCATTCCCTTTGTTTCCGGAACATAACTCTAAAACTACTTGAATAATCTTCACCAAATTTGGTATACTGTCTCTCCATATCATGTAGATAAATGAAGACTTTACAAACATAATAACATACTATCCCTAGTATGTATTTTCATACTTAGAGATTTTGAAATTGAAGGAATCAAATGAATTGTTTGTGGTCTCAACGGTGAATTGGGGGAATGGGGGGAGACATCTGTTTTTACCAGTATAAACACTTTCTAGTTGTTCCTTGTTGTGTCTTGGCACTTGTAACATTCTTTCACAGCTGCTTGCACGAGGTTATCCATCTTTGGGAACCAGTATTCTACTCAGAGCAGTTGCTTCATTTTCAACATGCCTTGCTTCCCTAGTGCATGAGCAACATCAAAGTTGCAGGCTCTTCGTTTTTTATCACCCGCCGCGTCTTTATCGCGAAGCGGCGGATATAGTATTAGGCTCCGTCCGTCCTCACGAATTAGAATATCTTAAGTACCGTTGACTAGATTCCTTTCATATTTGGTACCTAGGTTCATCAAAGCATGCAAAAGGTCCCAGTCATTTCAAGGTCACAAGGAGACTTTAACGTTTTACCCTTGTCAGCGATATAGCTCTAGAACTATTCACTGGATTTTCTTCATATTCGACACCAAGCTTCATCTAGGGAAGATGCAGGGCCCAGTCGATTTTGGTGACTTTCATGTAGTTTTCAAGGTCACAGCAACATTGAAGATTTCAGCATATGAACCTGCATGTTAATCTTGTCAGCGAGATACCTCAAGACCCATTCACTGGATTTTCTTCATATTTGACACCAAGCTTCATCTAGGGAAGGTGCAGGTTGACTGGTCATGCTTTTGTTGACATTTAACTTCATCTTAAACTACAACCTTCACTTTCATTACTTTTTAAGTTTGATTTGATAATTTGCGGCGGGGGATTATGTCAATGACAATGCTCGTTTTATCTAGTTTTAGCGATTTAAAGTTATTGTTTTTACAGTTTCAGTGGCGAGGTATTATGTTTATGTTGCTATTTCCACAATTAATGTGAACTATCCAGCGTTTCCTGCACAGTGGGAAAGTTTTCTTTGGTAGGCGTGTATTACGTTTGGATCTTGTCTATGCTGTTCCCAGTCTTCATGACCGCCTCCATGGTGTAGTGGTTAGAGCGTCCGTCCGGAGAGCGGAAGGTCGCAGGTTCGATCCCCGACCGCGTCATACCAAAAGACGTTAAAATATGGTACTTGTTGGTCCCTGCCTGGCGCTCGGCATTCATGGGTACAACAAGGACTGGTCGGCTCGGAGTCAGTATAATGTGTCTGAGTGGGGTATTCTTGCTTTACTGCGGCATGGTATCTTAGTGGGCTAGCACTATAAACCCAGCTTCAGTCTGGGCTAGTACAAGCAGCTGCATGTACACATACACACGCATGCACATCGTCATATGAGCGAAATATTCTCCAGCGCGACGTTAAACTCAATTTCACCTCACCCAGTCTTCGTTTAGGGTTCTTCTTTTCACCTTCTGCAATGTTTTGTCCTTGTGGGTTTCTCTTCTGATTCTGTCAATCACAACAGCACGCTCTGTCTGCAAAACACTTTTGACAGCTTCCTCCGTATTGTCATTACGTTGCCCGGGTAGCCGGTGCCTGGATAGGAAACCCAGTGGGTCAGCTGCATTTCTTCCTGGCTGATACACAAGCTGCAGTCTACATCCTGCATATCCATGACCCATTTCTCTATCCTTATGGGTATGATACCCAAACTTTTGAAACTAAGTGTGTATTTCTAATTTCAAGCGTAATACTTAGTGGTAAACCTAGGTGAAGGTCGTTCATGATGGCGACATATGGTTGTGACTAGTCACTAATACAGTGCAAACATAAACGTAATTTGCATACCGGTAGTTATTAAATTTGGATACCTAGTTTATCAGATTGCTTTATTGCACCGATAACACCCTCCATTAGATGATAAATCGCAATACGTATCGCAACACAGGTACCTGAATTGCAATATACTGAAATACAATTTATTTGCCAGTACACAGCCCTAATCAAAACTCCCTCGAAAACATGAAGTCAAAACAACTTCCAGATTTGCAGTCAAAAACGGTCTTTAAGTGTAACTGAAAATGGTCAACTGAATGTTCATCATCAGGGTACTCTTTGAATTATTTATCTTGTAGCTGTTTAGACTGTACCAGTGAAGACGTCTTTGAAATAATGTGTTAATTTTGATTTTCAGAAGCAATGCTACTGCGGCCCGCTCAATTCTGGACATTCCTGATGAACAGTTAAGAGAACTGAGAAGACAGTTACTTGCACTCAGAGGGCGGGAATCATACACAGCGTACATACGACAGTTGCCAGAACTTGAACTGCCGGAAACAGAGGTTTGTGATTGTTTTCATTGTCACGTATAGATTCCCAAGACAAAACTTAAGAAGTAACTGGGAATCAGTCCGGCAAAGAACAAGGTCTTAAAGGCACTATATCACACCACACCTCTCTCAAGGTCTTAAAGGCACTATATCACACCACACTTCTCTCAAGGTCTTATAGGCACTATATCACACCACACTTCTCTCAAGGTCTTAAAACCGCCGCCGTGGTGTAGTAGTTAAAGGCACATCCGCACACTTCTCTCTGGTTCGATCCTGACCGCGTCATACCAAAAGACGTTAAAATATGGTACTTGTTGGTCCCTGCCTGGCGCTGGGCATTAATGGGTACAACAAGGACGACAATACTAACTATCAGCCTTCAGGGAAGTGTCTTTCAGTGGCATTTAGAAGTTGTACATTGATGTCCAAGATATTTTTATGGATTAAACTTCTTTTTTAATTTCTCTCATAACGTTTCGAGACCATTCCAGGTCCCTTCATCAGGTGAACTGGCAGTTAGGACTATGACGTCGTCACTATGATGTCATAACTGAGTTATGACGTCACAATGCAAGTGACATCACAGTACACTAGGGAGAGTACTGTATAAGTGAGTTTGAAGAGTTAATTACATAATGATGAAATTCATGCTAATACACAACAACTGCTAATAACACAAAGGTTCCTTGATAGCAGGCTTTCCAAAAAGAATAGTAGACTCGTTTTTTCTTGTATCTAAAGTTCATCAAAAGTTCATCAAAAGTTAATCAAGAGGTCCCATGCACATGGCAGGTATACACCTTGATCACGATTAATTGCTGGTTTATGTCTCATTTTCTCGACAGGGAAGCTACCATATAATTTATTCCCAAAAAATTACGTATTTAGATTGCAATATTTAATTTATAAGTTCGAATGAATTAATGCAATGTTGCATTAAATCAACACTTGCGCCCTCTACCGGCCGAACATTATTTCAATTGAACCCCATAGAGTTATGTCCCTTTGAGCACTCTTTACGAATTTCCTACGCACATTTTGTGATTGAAACCAGTTCAGCAAACACCGACAATACCACATGCGACAGTTTTCGATGTACGGAGCGATTGTTTACATTCCATCTATGGCAAGTGTTCTCTGTTTAGAAGCTGTTCGTCTCGAAGTTTCAGTTATCAATTTCAGGCAAGTCGTAAGGGATACTAGGTCTTTTAATCTATAAAATTGTTTGAATATGAATGATCCTACTCGTACTGACAAAAACTCATCTCCATTTCAGAAAATCAGTGGGTCAAGGGAATCAACTGCTGTTGCTTCTTTGGCTTCCAGTGATCAAGAGTACTCTCCCCTGCCTCAGATGTGTTTAGCCTGCGCTCACAGGAAACCAATTAATCACGACTTCGACTCGGTGATGAACACAATACTAAATTCATCACACAATGATAACAGTTCATCACACAATGATAACAGTTCATCACACAATGATAACAGTTCATCACACAATGATAACAGTTCATCAGACGGCAATTCTCCCAAGATCTTGAAAAGAACTGAAAGCTGTCCACCAAAGCAAAGTACTTCGTCGTCAGATTGTGATCGAACTGGTGAAGCTGTTGTCACTTCAAAATCTCCAGTCTTAGATTTTGACATCATGTCAGATTTTGAAGAAGATATTCTTATGTCGGATATTGAAGAAAGGGATAAAATGAAAAAGTGTGGAAAAGGCAAACAAGATGTGACAAAAACAAATGAAGTATTGAAACATGGGCCAAGTTCATCAGTGGATGTTGACACGTCTGCACCTATTTGTGAAGTAAATTTACTATCAGCTTGTCCGCTGTGTAGTATGGAGTTTGAAAAAGGGTATGTAGAGTATATAACATGATCAGATATGCAGGGGGCATGGGTGGCTCAGGCTTCAAGGCGCTGTATTTAGTGTAAAGAGTTCTGTTTCTTGAGAAGAGGGACCTGTGGAGATCCGGGTTTGAATTGATCTTTGGTAACCCATGCTTGTTGTAAGAGACGACTAACGGGATTGGGTGGTCAGACTCACTGACTTGGTTGACACATGTCATTGGTTCCCAGTTGTGTAGATAGATGCTCATGATGTTGATCACTGGATTGTCTGGTCCAGACTTGGTTATTTAGAGACCACCGCTATATGGCTGGAATATTGCTGAGTGTGGCGTAAAACTAAACTCACTCACTCCTGAGAAAGGAACAATTGTGGGTTAGATTCCCGGTATGCGACAATTACATTGCTAGGTTTGTCACCATACCCTTGCTTGTGGGTTTCACCAAAATTGTCGACATCAAACATCTGCATCACTTCAGGCTTTCTCCCCAAATTAGGCTGCCACACTGTGATGTAACTGGAATGCTGTTCAAAGCAACATTAAACCAAAATCACTCGCTCAAAGATGTTTTTTAATAATAATAATGATTGCATTTATAATGCACTAAACTCCATTCACAAGGCGAATGCTCATAGCGCTAAGAAGCTGAAATCACAATCTGATTATTATTACCCCGGATAACCCATGCTGCCTGTGAGGTGCTAGAAGGTTAACAATCACATGACTTATCCCACCAGGTACCCATTTTCTGCTGGGTAAACAGAGGAAATTTTGAACAAACTCACTTGCCTGTGGTGAGACCACATGTATCACATGTGTTTCGTTATGGGACAGGACTGAAGTCCTAGTCCCATAAAATTCTCATGAGTGAAAGCTGCCAAAGCTGCCACGGTGCCATCCAAGGGCTCTCAGCTCCATGTTGCTTAACTTCAACTGATTTTGACCCGTAAGGACCTGTAGAACTGATCTTCAGTAACCCATGCTTGGTGTAAGAGGTCCTAGCGGGATCAGGTGGTCAGGCTCTGTGACTTGGTTGACACATGTTATCGAAATCAAAATTGCGTAGACCGATGCTCATGATGTTGATCACTGGATGGTCTGGTCAGACCTGGTCCTGCCATATAGTGAATATTGTCTGGTCCACTGAGTGCAGCGTAAAACTAAACTCACTCACTCAAATGATTTGTGACCTGAGCTCTATGCACAGAACCACACACCAAAAATAATTTGCAAGAATATAATGATATATATTTTATAGACATTCCAGTATGACACTTTTGGCATGTTTGGGATTGATGGAGTGATTGTCCCCTGGGTTTCATCAACTGTATAACTTGATTTCAGGGGACCACCAATAATCAACTTTAAAGGTCTTTGCAAGCAATATGAAGGTCAAGTACAGTATTTCAAATGGTGTAGTGTGCTGGACATTCACAATGATAATTAACATCCTGGAATGAATCAGCTACCGTGTGAGTGAGTGATGATCATGAATAATGGGTGAAATAACAGACACCCATAACTACTCTTGCACTGTGCGTCCGCCCGGAGTGCGGAAGGTCGCGGGTTCGATCCCCGACTGCGTCATACCAAAAGACGTTAAAATATGGTACTTGTTGGTCCCTGCCTGGCGCTCGGCATTAATGGGTACATCAAGGACTGGTCGGCTCGGAGTCAGTATAATGTGTCTGAGTGGAGTATTCATGCTTCACTGCGGCATGGTATCACAGTGGGCTAGCACTATAAAACCAGCTTAAGTCTGGCCTAGTACAAGCAGCCGCACATACACATACACACGCATGCACGTCGTCATATGAGCGAAATATTCTCAAGCACGACGTTAAACTCAATTCCACCACCACTCTTGCACTGTAGGTAATATTGTGCATCTCTGGGGAAAAGGAATTTTTTTCTGTATCCATTCTCGATATTTGTGTGTACTTTATGTACTTGATTATGTTTTTGTTTGGATAACCTGAATTTTACTAATAAGAAAACCAATACGTAGAAGGAGGTTTTAATGTTTAGTTTTATGTTATGTCATTGACTGCAATTTTAAAATACAGTGTACAATACTTTAAAATATTCTCATTGTGAACACAGTAACTGTTTTATTCCCAGTTTGCCTGCTGGGGTGCCTAGTTAAAATTCCTGGGTGAATCCCAGTCATTATGTTACATGTTACATTCTAAAAGATGTATCGAAATAACACAAAATGTAAAATGTATAGAACAAACATTCATGTCATTGTTTTCTTTTCAAACAATAATTGTTGAGAAGATATACTCATTTCACCATCGATGAACTGGACATTTGATTGCATTTACTGTATTTTTCTGTGATTTAATTTAAAGTCCTGAGTGAAGGAATGGTGTCCTGCCTTCGGTTCATAAATACAGTGCGTTGATCATCTGCTCAATGTTGTAATGTTAACATTGATATCAGCATCTACTTCTCTGTTACAGGACATCCCAACTGGACATCGATGGCCACATCGCTGCCTGCCTCTCAGCTGCTGGAGATGATGCCACATGGTGACCTGGTCACTGAGTCTTCAATTGTGAAAATCCCAGTTAGATTTCGACTGCAGGACCCCATGCTTGTTGAAAGATGGGACTGAAGGAACCGGGTGTTCAGGTTTATTGACAAATATGTCGGCAGAGAGACTTCCCGTTGTCCTACAGAACGTGACATGGTGATATGGTCACAGGGCCTTCTACTCATGAAGATACCTGTATGTTAATGATGTATATCAGTGCTCATTAGGAGCGATAGGGTAGCCAAGTGCTTAAAGCGTTGATTTGTCACGCCAAAGACCTGAGTTCGATTCCCCACTTGGGCACAATGTGTGAAGCCCATTTCTGGTGTCCCAAACCGTGATATTGCTGAAACATTGCTAAAAGCGGTGTAAAACCATTCTCACTCACTTACTCACTCACTTACAATTCTCATTATGTCAATCATTCAATTGTTGACTTCAGACTAGTGGTGGTCCGATTAATTGAAATAATCGAAGATTGGTCGTAGTGACTAAACGACCAAGCAATCGTTCACAGTTTCTCATAATCGAACACAACCAATTCTGGAACACTTGTTTTCATTAACAATATTTTTCACATGGTTGGTTTTGTCTGTTACATTTCATAAGCACTACAAGCTCGTTTCAAGTCACGATTGAATTTATCTTAAAGATTCCAAGAAATTTATGTTCCTAACATACTAGTTATCCTTTAAAGATGTGAAATTTTGCCAAAAAAACCCCAAAGAACTACATGTATTTTACCTTATTTTTGTGTGCATTAACAAATTTCATAAATGATGCTAACCAATTATTTTCGATGATTGATCGGTAGTAATGAACCAATCATCAATTATGAGATTTTAACCAATTCCCAACACTACTTCAGACCCAATTATATACAGACTGCCATCCAGAGCTAGAATATTGCTGCAGGTGGCATAAAACAACAAACCAGTATTTGAGCACAGAGTCTTTCTGTTGTATTGCTCTGGTCATAAAGCCTCCTGTTGTCATGCAGAGAGGGATGGTCTGGTCATTGACTGACTGACTGAGTTTGGTTTTACGCCGCTTTTAGCAATATTCCAGGAACATCACGACAGGGGACACCCAGAAATGGGCTTCACACATTGTGCCTGGGATTGAACGCCAACGCTTTAACCACTAGACTACCCCACCGCCCCCTGGTCATTCAGGTTAGAGACATAGCATGGTAGTCTTTTAAAGAAGCCTTCTGTAGTAGTACTCTGGTCATTGAGCTTCCAGTTGTCCTACAGAGATTATAGAAGATGTTACATGATGATCTGGTCACAGAGCCTTCTGTTTCGTACTGAGGTTAGAGACATAGCATGGTTATCTGGTTAAGGAGTTTTCATACTCAGCCTTAGTATATAAGGGTTAAAACATTGAAAGCAGAAAAAGATTTGGCAGCATACTGTTACGTGTACATGAATGAATCTTAAGTGTGTATGTTTGAATGTTGTGTAAATAGTGCTTATATTTATGTAATTTATGGGGCTGTTGTTCAGTTGTGCTAATGCTCATCAGCGATGCACATATTTATTGCTGATTGCAGCTATGTCCATGTTGTGTAATATTAACGATACTGTAAACCCTCCAGTGTTCGTGCTGCTGCTGCTGCATTCGTTGTGGGAACACGGTTCCAGAGTTTTTTTTCTGCGGGAGTTGTTTTCTCAGGTTTACGTGTCTGGCTTCAACATGCATTTCGCTATTCTCGGCCACGAAACACACATCGGCTCCTATTGTTCAAGTATGAGTTTGTTATGTTTCATGTAGACGCGAATGTGGGCCACGAAACGCACATCGGTTCCTATTGTTCAAGTATGAGTTTGTTACGTTTCATGTAGACGCGAATGTGGGATAGAAGGAGAGTTTCTGTAGTAGTACTCTGGTCATTGAGCCTCCTGGTGTCATACAGAGATTATAGAAGATGTTACATGATGTTCCTGTCACAGAGCATTCTGTTTCGTACTGAGGTTAGAGACGTAGCATGGTAATCTGGTAAAGGAGTCTTTTGCTCTCATACTGAGCATTCTGTTGTTATGCTGAGGTTATAGAAAATGTGACATAATGATCTCGTCGCTTAGCCTTCTGTTGTCATACAGATGTTATAGAAAATGTGATATCGTGATCTGGTCATTGAGCCTTCTATTGTCATACTGGGGTTACAATATGACATTGTGATCTGGTCACCGAGTCTCCTGTTGTCATACAGAGGTTACAATATGACATTGTGATCTGGTCACTGAGTCTTGTATTGTCATACTGGGGTTACAATATGACATTGTGATCTGGTCACCGAGTCTCCTGTTGTCATACAGAGGCTGGAGATATGACATTGTGATCTGGTCACTGAGTCTCCTGTTGTCATACAGAGGTTACAATATGACATTGTTATCTGGTCACTGAGCCTTCTATTGTCATACTGGGGTTACAATATGACATTGTGATCTGGTCACTGAGTCTCCTGTTGTCATACAGAGGTTACAATATGACATTGTTATCTGGTCATTGAGCCTTCTATTGTCATACTGGGGTTACAATATGACATTGTGATCTGGTCACTGAGTCTTCTGTTGTCATACAGAGGCTGGAGATGTGACATGGTGTTCTGGTCACTGAGTCTTCTGTTGTCATACAGAGGCTGGAGATGATGTTACTTTGTGATCTGGTCACTGAGTTGTTTGTTGTTATTCTGAGGCTGGAGATTATGCGAGCCTTCTGTTTATACTGCAGATTCACAGATTACAGTAATTATTTAGAGTAACTTACAGCTCTTGCAATGAGGATGTCTGTGTTAGAATGTTATTTGGCCTATAAAATACATAGTCATGTATATAATTATACATTCACAGAGATGCCAACCTCTAAGAAATGGTGATAATTTGGAAATCTGCTGTTGGGGGTATGTGAAATTAAAGCTTCACTCTTGATTAGTATCATATTATCTTTTTCCGAATCCATTATGATTTTAAGTATTTAGTTGACTACTAATTTTATGGTCAAGCTGCTAATTTTTATCCTTGAAACTACTATTTGCAACAATTTGGGGTTGGCATTTCTGCATTCATTATGTTTTGAGTTTCTGTTTGTGAATCAAAATGACCTCATGATTGTAAGTACTTCAGATGTATTTCCACTGTCCAAATTTACAAATCTAGTAACCAGAAATCAAACAGTTACTGATCCACTTGATTGTAGCCAGCTGTGAAGAGCTGACCTTGTTTAGTTTCACACAAGTTGTTGTTTAAGTTATTCACTGTCTATATTTTCTCTAGATGCCGAGTGGTGCAAGCCAGACTCACATCGTCAAGGAAGGGCAAACATATGACATTAATCTCCACACAGTGGAAGTGTAACAGAAACTGGTAAGAACTGTCTCTAATCCTTACATCACATTCTCTATGTCTGAATCTTCAGGGATAGTCGTCAGTTCTCAGTGATGTGGCTTGGCATTTGATCACAAATTTGGTAGGTTCCATGTACAAACTTCCAGCCATGTCCTTCTGGTGCATAGTGAACAGGTTTTGTGTGTGAGCATTTCTCCAAACACCTGATACAGTGTTTGTTTGGTGGATCTTTTCCGCCAGTAGTTTCTCATGGAAGGTGGATACACAAATGGGTCACTCCTTTGAATCCTGATGGAGAGTTTCTTGTAAAAGCACACTATGTCGAATGTCATTTTTGTTGGACATCTCCAATCTGGAATATGTGGTGTACGCAAACATCGCAAATCCAGAAACGTCTTCTGATAGAGAGCGAGTTTGATTTCATTCTGCTTTTAGCAATATTCAAGCAGTAACCTTACAGGGGACAAATGGAAAGGAGTTCAAACGTTGTACCCATGTGGGGAATAGAAACAAGGCATTTAGAGTGATAAGGCAACGCTATCAACACAAGGCTACCAACCGCCTTGCGTGATTGTGTCTGTGAGAAGACGGTTTCTGATGACTGGATCAGCCACAAGGGTAGAACTTTCTACTCTTGATTGTTCTGGTCTAATTACCAAAGCAACTGCATTGATGAACCAGCTTGACTTGTTGCTGCGGTTTCCTGTACCCGTCTTCCTTTCGGATGTTACAAATGATGAAGCAGCAAAACTATGTGGTCCATCATCATGGAGAGGGGTGTACCTCCCAGCATGCCGCTGTACGATTGCTGAATAGGAGGTTTTAGATGGTGAACTCCAAAATCTTAATCAATAGATCTTAGGGCCGGGCTTCCCTACGTCTGTTGACAGGCACAAAATCGTTGATTCTTGTCTGAAACAAAGACATACTGTTGTTGGGAGACTTCGCCAGCCTAAATGGAGTTAAGGGAACAGAATGTCATGAGTTTGGCGTGTTTGTTTCTTGTGTTTCCACTAACTCACTGACTCTTCAAATAGTTTTGAGACAACCTGTCATCACCTCTCAGTTTATAAAGGCTGTCATTTGCCTGATTGCAGATTTGCTCTTTGAAGCTCAGCCATGGAATATTATGTTTTGATGATGATGATGATGATGGTGTTTGTCCAGACTTGTGGAGACGTTCAACAAACTCATTGTCTGACTTGTCAGATTTGTCATGCTCTGTTGGTAGCCATTGTTGTCCATGGTGAAGAGCGTGACACCAATAAGCCATGGTTTGGTGAATACCACTCCTACAATACATTTTAGTGCCATGTGGTCTCCCTGTTGATCTGGTGTAGGCCGATGGTGTGATGTAAGCCATGGCACGAGGTACTGCTCTTATACCATGTGGTTTCCCTGTTGATCTGGTGTAAGCCGATGGTCTGATGTAAGTCATGAGGAGGTACTGCTCTTCCCATACCGTATTGTACCATGTGCTTACCCCGTTGATCTGGTGTAAGCCGATGGTCTGGTGTAAGCCATGACAAGGGGCACAGCTCTTCACGTACCATCTTGTACCATGTGGTTTCCCTGTTGATCTGGTGTAAGCCGATGGACGGTGTAAGCCATGACAAGGGGCACGACTCTTCTCGTACCGTCTTGTACCATGTGGTTTCCCTGTTGATCTGGTGTAAGCCGATGGATGGTGTAAGCCATGACAAGGGGCACGACTTTCTCGTACCGTCTTGTACCATGTGGTTTCCCTGTTGATCTGGTTTAAGCCGATGTTCTGGTGTAAGCCATGACAAGGGGCACGGATCTTCACGTACCATCTTGTACCATGTGGTTTCCCTGTTGATCTGGTTTAAGCCAATGGTTGGATGTAAGCCATGACAGGAGGCACGTCTCTTCACATACCGTCTTGTACCATGTGGTTTCCCTGTTGATCTGGTTTAAGCCGATGGTCTGATGTAAGCCATGACAGGAGGCACGTCTCTTCACGTACCATCTTGTACCATGTGGTTTCCCTGTTGATCTGGTTTAAGCCGATGGTCTGATGTAAGCCATGACAGGAGGCACGTCTCTTCACGTACCGTCTTGTACCATGTGGTTTCCCTGTTGATCTGGTTTAAGCCGATGGTTGGATGTAAGCTATGACAGGAGGCAAGTCTCTTCACGTACCATCTTGTACCATGTGGTTTCCCTGTTGATCTGGTTTAAGCCATGACAGGAGGCACATCTCTTCACGTACCGTCTTGTGCCATGTGGTTTCTCTGTTGATCTGGTGTAAGCAGATGGTCTGATGTAAGCCATGACAGGAGGCACGGCTCTTCCCATACTGTCTTGTACCATGACATCTTGTACATTAACAGTAAGCCGATCATCTGATGTTAGTGACAGTTCTCTGCAATATTCCAGCTATAACAGCTGTCTGTGAATTATCAAATCTGGACTGGACAATCCAGTGATTGATATCATGAGCACTAGCCTACACAGTTGGGATGCAATGACATCCGTCAACCAAGTAAACAAGTCTGACCACCTTATCCTGTTGAGGGATACTGAAGGTGAATTCTAAACCGAAAGAGTCGCTGTCATCAGACACTTCTTCCTTGAACCCATGGTACGGAGGCCAAAAGGACTGTGTATGGTCTCGTCAGTACCTGGATGGAAACTGACAGTTGGATGACATGCCCTTGTTGGATGGCCAAATAGACAAACTTTGTAATTGGTGTTAAGAGATATGCTGACCCCAGAAGTACACATCAGGACGTTAGTAGATTTAACCTACCAAATCGTTTAGTTTGATCAAATGCTGAGCCGTATCACCGAGAACTGGTGACCATCCCTGCTGATTCAGATGCAGATTATGCTGAAGTGAGCATAACTGACAGGTCGGACAGTGAAAGTGACACTGACACGTATGAAACAGATTAATGGTATGTGTGGGTCAGGCCTTGAAGATGCCAGCTGGACGTGCATCACTCCATCTTGAGGAACTAAAGACAGTAAAAAGCTTCCACAGCAACTTGTGTCGTACTGAACAAGATCAGACTATACAGCAGGCAACAATCAACTGGGTCAGTAACTGTTTGTGCAAGTTTGGACAGTTGGAGTACGTCTGAGGTACTTGTGGCCATTTTAGATCACAAGCAGAAACCCAAAATTTCATTCATTTGTCATAGTTGCAGATATATGTGTGCTTGTATTATTGTAAAATGAAGCTGCAGTGAAATGTTTGTGCTCACACCCATGTCATTTTGAGGTTTATGTAAATTGTATTTTTGTCAAATCTTGAAATATAATATTTTGTTCCCTGGCTGACAGTCTTGATCCTGTGTAGTGTGAAGGCAACCTTGCAACACGACATCATCGTCAAAAGAACAACAGAAATCACATTTTATCATATAGCACTTATTTAATCTTTAAGCAAGTACAGACACAAAGGAACAAGTAGAATCTGAAACAGTTTTGAGAGTAACCCTACTTGAAATAACAGTGCTTCTCACAAGCATATCTCACAAGACAGGCCTACATATGGAAGGTTGGCAATACACAGCTAAATCTCCCCAACATTGTCATAAACCATCCCTCTGTATTCTGCATCACCAAGTATCGTACAGTGACTCTGCCTTTCAGGATCAGAAAAAAAGTCGGATTAAAACAAAACACGCCTAGAAAATGTTGTAGTTGGCTGAAGTAACAGTGGGAAACTTATCACAGAAATTTTATTTTTCCATCTCCTAAAATGTACATTGTTTGGATAAATCGTAAGAAACAACAGCAAGCATTTGAAAATTGCATTCTTGAGCAAACATGCATGTAACTGGGTCTCCGTTAATATTCTTGAAAGCTAACCTTCGACTTTTTGAAAGCTCTCTTGTAAGGCTAGCTGAAAAGCACCTTAAAGGCAACTACATTTTACATGTCTGCATAATTCGACCCATGAATAGCATTCCCTAGTATGGCACTGTAAATATGGCTGCATCAATGTTTATTCAAACTGCTTTCAGATAAATTGTCACTCTTTGGAAATAAGTTATTGCCAAACATTCTCAAATAATGGACTGACAAATCATTATTCCGTGTAACTTAAGCTGGTGTTTGAAAGCATCAAGCAGCCAGGAAACAAAACTCAAGCTTAGCTCAGCAGGGAAAGAATTGCAGGGTTTATATTATATTCTCCAGAAGACAAATCACAGGTTGTAAACAAAATGTAGTCTTTCAGCATTCTAATCTAGAACTTCTTAATACACGGGATCATCTCAAAAACTACCAGCACGACAAATTTCAGTCTTGAAAGCACCCCATAACTACATTTTGACTCGTTTCCGATTCAGGTTGTTTTTGAGATGATACCCCAGATGAGCAAACTCCTAGTTTTGCACGTATCCTTAAGCCATTGTTTCACACCGGTTGGCCATCATATGGCTCCCCATCTGTAGATCCACTCACGTGATGTCATAAAATTAACAAGCTTCGGCAAACGGCTATGTTGTTCAAGGACTCGTATGTACATATATCCCAGTGCTGGAGACCTGGCACCCATCTAACAGTTACCGATTCCATGTCACACTTGCATTACGCTAACCATGTCCAAAAATTCCACCAAGAGATTGATTCATGATTCACAATTTGAATTTTCAAGTACAAGCAACAAGTTCTACAGCAATGGGTCGTTGGTAATTGTCAATGACGCATGCGTATTTTCAACAGTTGTAATGACAGCATCAAACCAGCGACACAAAATAGCTTGAAAAAATCTTAGCTAAAAAGTTTGATGTTTGGGGTTTTGATTGATCAAATTTGAAATTGCATGATGAAGAAACTTGCTACAACAACACCGTGAGACAGATGGATTATGTTTTATGTAAGATATTTGAGACATTCTTCTTTTGTCCCTCACTTCAAGAAACAAATTAGTAAAATGTTGCATAACTACATTGTTTTGGACTCTCCGAGCCAAAATGATCCTACGATTAAAGTGTTTTTATTCTCCCAAATTGCTCCACAGAGCATGATTTTTTGCTTTTAAAGCATACCAATACGTACATTACTGTAATTCCTCTTCCGGCTCATTACAAAGAAACAATACGATACTCGTCACAAGATTAACAATATCAAACAAAGTTCACAAATATTCATGTGGCACAAAACAGTTCACTTAATATTTTGAAAAAATAAATAAATAGATTTAAGTGTCTAGAGACGTACGACTGATGTCACATCAATTCGCCTTCATTCTCCCTGCATGAGCTAGGAAAATGAAGATCCCATGATCACTAATGTTCTTGACATCCACATTTAAGAAATAGTTCAACAAAATCAAATTAGACACAGTTTGAAGACAGACGGACAGAAAGACAGTCAGCTGTTCATCAATCTATGAACACGATATCAGGCATTGGGTTTCCGAGGAATAGCATCCTGGCAAATAGTATCCATCCGATTACCATAAACAATATCCAACGATTCAAGGTCAGTTCATTTGTGTTCAAGATTGTTGAAGACACTTGACAATAACAAAGTGCTTACACTGAAATTCCAAACAAGAATGTTCATTCTAGTGCTGTTTGCTTCCGCCTCTGAACAGTGAACATGTGTCTGTCATGTGCTTATCTGTTCACACGATGTGAACACACCCTCGATAACTCACAGAAACAAGAAACAGCAACCGTCGTTCTTGACATTCGGTGTTCGGGATGAACAGACGACTGTTTGACATTAACGGCAACTGTTTTTTGTACTAACCTGTACACTACACTATGGTACCTCACATTATACATCCGTGAACAACAACGGTCTTGAAATGTACAAAGAAAATGACAAGATACTCAGAACAGTTTGAGGTGTTCAGTTGGCGGCAGGGCCGGCTCACTGCTGGGTGGTCACGGACTGCAGTTGAAGAAACATATGGCACACTTTTCACACTAATAAAACACAGCATTCCTGTGTCTGTACAGTACTGTACACGGTCACAGGGTTCACTACCTGTACACTTGTCGAGAGACTGTACACGGTACACAAGTATGTATGTACAGTTTCACAGTTGAACATGTACACTTTTCGAGAGACTTCACATATACAAGGTACACAAGTATGTGTACAGTTTCACAGTTGAACATGTACACTTTTCGAGAGACTGTTCACATATACAAGGTACACAAGTATGTGTACAGTTTCATAGTTGTACCTGTACACTTGTCGAGAGACTACACGGTACACAAGTATGTGTGTACAGTTTCACAGTTGTACCTGTACACTTGTCGAGAGCCTGTTCACATATACAAGGTACACAAGTATGTGTACAGTTTCATAGTTGTACCTGTACACTTGTCGAGACTGTACACGGTACACAAGTATGTGTGTACAGTTTCACAGTTGTACCTGTACACTTTTCGAGACTGTTCACATATACAAGGTACACATGTACAGTTTCATAGTTGTACCAGTACACTTGTCGAGAGACTACACATGTACAAGGTACAAAAGTATGTGTGTACAGTTTCACAAGCAACTGTTCAAACGTAATTGATCGTGTGTACAGTATCACCAGCATCTGTTCACATGTACACTGTTCACAATTAGTCATCTATGTGTACAGTTCCACAAGTGACTGTTCACAAGCAATTTCACATGTAAACTGTTCACAAGCATCTGATGACCAGTGATTATCCGCTGTACAGTAATCACAAGTGACTCAACATGTACATAATTCAACAATGCTACACATTTTGCACTGTACACATGTAACGTTATAAGCAAAGTGCCTGCTTTACTTATTTACAGCCTGCATAGCATGTTTTGATACAATTGTCAGCGTTTTGCCATAATATATATCTAAAACATCTGTCGTCTATTTCGGTGGGTCCCAAAATTGCCCTAGTCACCCCATAGATATATTTTCTCAAAATATTTACACTTGGGGCAGTTTACATACACATAGTTCCTTGCCTTCTGAAGGTAGGTAAAGATTATTTTACTAAGTCATGAATTAATCACGTTGATCTGAACTCAGCTAATGGGCATGCTATACATATTCATACAAAACAAGACATGAATATTCATTAGTTTCATTCTAGTTACATCATACCTTCTCCAAGTACAAGAACAATTAATGGTTTTATGAACTGAAATTGCCACAGTTGGTCAGAACTTTACATTATATAACTAAGTTAGTGGGATTGGTGTTATTTATAAAGCATTATCTTCCTCCAAGGATAACATTTACAACAAGGATGATCTCCGACAATAGATGCACACAACCTAGAACAATTATTGTGCGATGAAGGGAAGTACAGCTTGTCCATCATTGGAACAATTACACGAGACAATAACACAGCTGATGGACATGAAATTCTGGTCAGTCCAGTTGACAATGACCTGTGAGGGTTGAACATTCACTGTGTGCTATTAATTGGAAGTGAACGATGAGGTGGTTTACGATTTTAAGTTGGTTATTTGAAACAATTCAACACATGGAAAACACCACTAGTTTAAAGAACAAAATAAACATGCTGACTGACCAATGGCAACCAATCTTCTTTAACATGTAATCTTAAAATGTACATCGGCAATCTTTATGGCAACGAAGTTTGAAATGTTTTTTTCGCCAATTATCAAAACTATGAACAATGAATGAGTACCCGTGAAGCAATTGTGGTGATATCATTCCTGTGGATAGTACCAAAAGCATCAAATCACTTTTCCATTTAATTTTCTCTGTGCAGAAAGAAAAAAAATTCTTTCCAGATTGGCATCAAAAATCCGTCAAAGGCTCCTTTTGAACATTTCTTACAACAGACCAGTTTCCTGTTAACATATGTGAGCCTGGTGGTCTCCTATCAAAGACACATGCCTTAAATTGGTTGCTTTTTGTACTATCCTTGATATATAGATGAATATAATGTGTTGTAGTTTAGTCACAGACCACTGTATCTTTCCTGGGGAAGGTGTTCCATCATCATGTTGCTTTTCATTTCTGAAACATCCACAATTCCTTCACTCTTGAGGCAATTGTACTGTTTCCTTTCAATGAACAAACATTTTCAGATGCTGAAAAAATCTTCCCCCAAGACGATAAACTGATCAGTTCCTCAATGCCCTATATTGTTAATGGAAGAGTTCATATTGCAAGAAAGGAACTCATTTCTCAGTTTTATTCACTTTCGTTGTTTCTAAAAAAATAAACAATTAAAAATTAAGAACCACACAAAGACAAATACCTAAAGTCTGTAAAAAGGATCATTAATCTAAAATTCAATTATGTTTAGAAACACTGAAACGTGTTCACAACTTACGTGTCAATTGTTTGAACATAAGAACATGGCGAGGGGATACGGACTCGGCAAAGTAGACCATTCTGGGAAAGAAGACCGACTTTATACACCTGTGAAGTCTTGAAACTCCCACTAACCGTACAATCTGTATTTGATTTACAGAACTATTTCCCTTACAACTTCAACAGACAATAGGCAGCACAAACAAAGCATTTCTTTGGTCAAGTTTGTTGGAGAAATTGCAATCATCCAATGAAATATATAACTCGTAGCCTACCTAATTAGCAGAACTTGAAATTTTCAACAAGCATAATAAACTATTTAATCCTTAATGATGGATATTAATAAAAAAATAAATTCCTCTTTTTGTCTTTGGGCATATTAGCTAGCCATGCAAGATAATACTGCCACCATTTGTAGATTGAGGTAAAACGGTTTTACTTTTATCACAAAGGGAAAGAAATTGCACACTCTGCCTCCATTGCCAATTATGGTAACGCACTCATGAGAAAGCAAAAAGATAATGTCGAGTAAACTTTGCCATGATAAAATAATGCCAGGCATTTGGTGTTGGATGTGAAACTGATTTTCTGCTTGATTCATGTAAAATTATTTGAAATTTTGAAATAAAATGTGGTTTAATGTGTGATCTGTTAACCTACTACCAGTTCAAAACCCTGGTGCTACGAAGTTGAACTTCAGTGATCTTCTTCAACAAGGGCTCTCACTGAAAAAGCAACAGCTTTCAACTCGACCGTACAAGTTCACAAAATAGTATGCAGTTAAAATTAAATTATCTGACTTTGTAACAAAGTCTAGTAAAGGATGAACAGTATTGAAATCAAATGACATTAAAAATTACTTTTTTAAAAATGCTTTCTTCAATGACAGCCCAAGTTGGTGCGCTGACTGACGCCCCAAATCCTGAATAATTACAGAACACGGATTGAAGAACACAGACAAAAAGCCCCAAACACTTCTAAACATAGCCACCATTTCAACTATGATATTTACATGAAAAGTGGACATCAATGTCACAGTAGTCATTAATTATTTGTACTTGGCAATCAATCATCGTCAATTGCTAGATGACCCACTACAAATTGACAGCAACTTGGCAATCATTGTTCTCATGCAAAACAAGTTTCGTTTCTTAAGAAAACTTCTATTCACAATATTTGAAAATGAGTTGCATGTGGTTATGTTCATGGAGAGATTTAAAAATCGGTTGTCGATGAAAGTTTTGCTGCCATCACTGAAGATTATAAAGATTAAATACATGCACTTAATGACTGCATGACATTTGGGTTATAATTTCTTCTGAGATCATAGAATTTTCTGTAACAAACTAGAAACCACTTGTTGAAGATTTCTGTCAACTTGTTCAAAATTTAGACTTATTCAAGTTATCTCCCCTTTATGGTCCCAAAATGGCTGGTATTTTCACAAGTAATAACATGTTCCTATTTATAGATAGTCTAAAGATTGCGATTAAGGTCCTTCCCAGAGATTAACTGGATCTGCTTATTTATCCTGATTTAACAGTAAATGTGGCATACAAATATTATGTCAAGTAATAGAGAGTCACTGTTGTCAGATAGTGACTGGCTGCCATCTTGAAATTTGATCAAGGTTAATATCTCGCCTTTTGACTAATTACACAATTCATAACACATTGTCATGACATCCCACAGAAAGATATTGGACAAAGAACCTTCTACTGATGATCTTACTCCAACACAGCACATGCCCTCGTCAATATGCTCACCATGGAAAGACTAACATGGCATCCTGGACAAGCCCTTTAAACGTCAACACAGCTGTAAATGTGTGAGACACAAATGCAACTTCTGTAAGGATTCAGTATTGTCAGGTTCCCATGTACACAGACAAAGCTTCAGTAACAATTCCTGCAAGTGCAACAGTGTTTGATGTAGCTGCACATTATCTGTGACACTCTTATAAACAACACTGCAGATGCAGTTTCAACACCATGGGTGTAAGGACCACTGGAACAATTACCAGCTGATCCACTGTTTGATACAGCTGCAACACTGTTCTCCAGGTATACTGTTTCATAAAACTGCACCACTGTTATTCTGACACTGTTGCATACAGCTGCAACACTGTTTTGTACAGCTGCAACACTGTCCAACTGATACACTGTTTCATACAGCTACAACATTGTCCGTCTGATACATTGTTTCATACAGCTGCAACACTGTTTTGTACAGCTGCAACACTGTCCAACTGATACACTGTTTCATACAGCTGCAACTGTCCAACGGATACACTGTTTCATACAGCTGCAACTGTCCAATGGATACACTGTTCCATACAGCTGCAACACTGTCCAACCGATACACTGTTTCATACAGCTGCAACACTGTCCAACTGATACGCTGTCTCACTGATACAAGCAACATCCTCACCATCAACAGACACACTATTTTCATTCATTAATGAGCAGTTTTCTACAGTAGATTTTGTACTTCTTCCTATCAAGTTTAGGCTGTGCTGTGTTGAAGTGAGAAGACTCCTAGAACAAACTAGAACAAGACTATTTCAACGGTAACCACAGAAGACAGAACAGATATAAAATAGCACTATTGTTGCCTTTGCGAAACACCAGAGCTCAAACATACATACTCTATGTAACAAAACTGGGAAGACGATCCACGCCCAAACAGTGACGTAGACAAACGATACTTTTCTTAACATGCACACGAGACATTTTTGGGTGACATCGCCATGACTTGGTTGCCACAGCAACCCTGGAGACGTGGTCAGCAGTGCAGCCTGGATGACAACATTCCTCTGGTCCATTGCTCCAACGTGTAGTCAAGTTGAGTGCAGCTTGCTAGTTTAATATCAACAGGAAGGGTGAACCTAGCTAAGCTAAGACCACAAGTTTTGATCAAAACATTACAATCAGGCTGTAGCACCATAAATAGACACGATTAAAATGAAAAAAAAAAAAGAGTAATAAAGTGCGACCCGTAAAATAAAAACTAAGTTCATAAAATTACAAAAGGTTTGCCATTTTTTTAAACCTACACCATCCAGCGCATTGTCAACATACGAGAGGCATGTTAATATGACACAAACTCTGTATAAATACCGAACACGCCACAATGACAACAATAGGTGGGCCATTGGCCCTAACAACTCAGCATAAAGTTCAGCACATCCCATCATCCCTCTGTACCATAATGGTAGAGTCCTGGCTTGGGGCACAGTCCAAGTTGGTTCAAAGGGATGAAAGGTTCCACAATAACAATCACAGCCTTCAAATATGGACAACATTTACACCGTACAGTGCTGAATCGTCGCCGCATAAACAGTCACAAGATTCAAACGTACATGGGGCACTGAATCGTGTGCTTTACGCAAGTACACAGCGTCTCTGCCCTGACCTCTCTTCTAGTCAATCAATAACGTGTTCTCTCTCCCTCTTAGGAGGGAGACATTTTGGGTGCCGGAATGACACAAAGTCCTGTTTTGCAATTCCTTCTGGAAGTTTTTCGGGGGGACACTATTCTTGGGGCAGATTTTCCGGTGGTTCCGTTGCACAGCGTGTATTTTTGTTTGCTCTGGAGCAGTTCCGAGACGTTGATGCCCTTTCGTTTGAGTTCTTCTCGGAAAACTGCATTCTCCCGTTCCGCATCATGGTAAGCGCTCTCAAAGTGCTTCAGACGATTTGCCAGGTCACGGTTTAGCTGAATAAATTTCTCTCGTGAACCTGAAAATAAAGAAATAAATTTGTTTACATTCATGTACCACAGAAATGTTGTCAGCAAGGCTACACAACCACAAACATTAATAATCAATCCCTTTGAGTCAAACTATACTCAAGGTGCTATGTATGACAAACACGACAGAGGTTGTCGAACTGCCATGCAGAGTTATTTCCCTTTGACCATACAATCCATTCCCCGAACATCTGCTTCAGACGACTCGAAGTCTGAACTGAACAATTCATTACTAACGGTTCATTAAGTGGAAGATACTCATATACTGGAAATCATAATAAATGAACAATTTATGCAAGACTTTATGCAAGAAAAGACAGGACAATGGTAAATCTCATTCATTATCTTAATTTCTTAAACTAGTGTTTCCAGATTTGCAGCATTCACTTAATGAATTTTTGCTCCCATGGAATTATAACTGGAATTGATGGCTTTAGCAAATCTGGAAATGAAATGCTTAATTTCATCTTCAAAACAAAAAGAGCGACATTCATTCCAACACTCCACTCGAAACATCTGTGATAAGAAAAGTCATCACTTTGGAGTGCAGTCATCTCATCCATTGTCTTTGAGATCAAACAATGGAGGACATCACGTAACCATGTCAACCAGACAAGGGAATGGCTTTTTGATCAAATTAAATATAAGAAAAATTAAACGTTGCATTTCACTGTCAAATACAAAGCATTTCATATTTTAAGATCCAGAATAAAAAAACCAAATTCACACATTGAAGTTTCATAGGTTTTAGATCCGATTACATCGCGTTTCAACAAAACATCACACGCATTCAGCTACTCTCAGAAAGAACTCAAATCAAGCGGATTGTGAGTTCCAGTTCTGGTATTCCTCTGTTCCATAACCAAGGCCGTCCTAATGCAAAAGCATGCCAAGCAGTAGTCTGTCTCACAGTCCCTGCACCACATTATTTTCCCAACTGCCTATAGCTCTCCCTGCAATGCTAAAGCCCTAAATGAAGCAAGTCTAGATTTCCTCAGATCCAGTCTGAATCTCTGGTCTCCTTTTCAATTTAAATGGGTTACTGTCAAAATTATTTATATTCAGAGACTAAACATCGGTCTTGCCTGGCAGTTGCCCCATGACCCACGAACATTGGGGCAACATAGCCAGTCTCACAGTCCCTGAACCAGATTATTTTCCCTTCTGCCTAGCCCTCCCCTGCAATGCTAAAGCCATAAATGAAGCAAGTCCAGATTCCCTCAGGTTCTGAATTTCGCATCTGACTGGGGCGCCTTTTCAATTTAAATGGGTTTATTTGTTACTATCAAAGTTATACACATTCAGAGTTTGCCGCGTTAGTCTCAGGGCCACATCAGGCCTACCAAAGAAAACTTTCCCAGAAAAAACGCAGAAAAACGCTGAAAAGTGCACATTAATCGTGGAAATAGGAACATAAACATAATACCTTGCTTCTGAAACAGTAAAAACAGCAACTTTAAATCGCTAAAACTGGATCATAAAACGAAGAGCCTGCAACTTCGATTTTGCGCATGCGCACTTGGAAGAGGAAGTCTCAACCGCATGCTGACATTTTCAGCTTGGACAAAAAGTTACATTCCCTTACTAAAGTATTTCTGTTGTGTTATTTGGCATTTATCATCATCATACTTGTGTGCACACTTGTTTAGTTAACTTTCCATTCGTACAAAATGATTGACAACAATTATTTCGACATATTCAATACTTTTTCTACTCGAGGCGATTCACGGTTGCTTGGAAATTTTAAACGAGCTCGGATCATAACGCACGCGCATGCGCAGTAGAGGTCAAAGTTCACTGATATAAAAATGTTGCAGTTTCATAGTCTTTCGTTGCCGTTTTTACTGTTTCAGTAGCGAGGTATTATATTTATGTTGCCATTTCCACGATTAATGTGGGCTTTTCTGCGTTTTTCTGCAGTGGAAAAGTTTTCTGTGGTAGGCCTGTACATGCTCAGGGCCACAAGCTAAGGGTCCCCCATGCACATCATGTTGTGAGTTGCTATCAATAAGTAAAAATGGTTGTGGAGCAAGGTGCTCTGCCCAAAGCTTATTATACTGTTAAAACAGGGCTTTCAATAACCGTCATCAAAAGAGCTGTGGATTATTTGAACTGATAGTGTCTACAATAAACATCCCTGATCCTTTTCAATACAATCAACATATGCAACAATATATCTCAGTCCCTGCTGGCGTTCCTGAACATCAAACAACATCTAACAGAATAGGGCATCGCTTCATTATCTCTTGAAGACAAGAACAAAATGTGGCACCATTTGAACAAAATGTCATCGTGTCTCTTTGGACACAAGAAAAAGGTTATCATTGCCCCTTGCTGATCCAAGATTAGTGCTCAGGTCACAGATAAGTTTCACTGCCGAGTCTAGCAGCACTGTTTAGTCTTTCCTTCTCATGTACTATCAACGACTACTGAATAATACACTTCATGAACGCCCTATGCATTATTAACCAGTATTTTTAACATAACAGTTGAACTCATTTGAAATCTATGTCACTAGAATGTTTAATACCAAAACTACATATCCTGCTGAATATATGATAAATGGTTATCCCACAAAAGCAAGTTCTGCATCCGATACAGCAGCTGTCGAATACGGCATGATTTACATCACTGTTCCATCGGTCAAAACAACATCAGTGGTGGTGTGTGGTCCTGTGCATTGACCTCAGGTCACAAATCAGTTGAAGTTAAGCAACGTTGGGCGCAAAGAGTCCTTGGATGGGTGACCGTGTTTGGCAGCTTTTCTCCTGAGTTTCTAGGACTTCAGTCCTGCCCCACAAAGAAGGGCATGTGATACATGTGGTCTCACCTAAGGCAAGTGAGTTTGTTCAAACTTGCCTCTGTTCACGCAGCAGAACATGGGTACCCGGTGTGATACGTCAGGTGACTATTAACCTTCTAGTGCCTCACAGGCAGCTTGGGTTATCCAGGGTAATAATAATCAGATTGTAGCGCTTTGAGAGTGCCCCTCCGTGGTGCGGAATTCAGCACATTACAAATGGCATTATTATTATTGTTATTATTATTGTTATTATTATTAGTGCACACGTACAATTCTTCAGAAAGGTACAAGCTCTTCCTAACTCCCTCGCAGACCTATGAACCCTTCCTGACTGCAAGTTGTCCTATTTATCAAATGTCCACAAGAAAGCATGTCTGTTTCTGCACAATTAGCACCCTAAGTCCTATCAACATATTTCCCAACAATCTAACCTAAAATAAGACCCCTTAAACACCCTCTAACTTAATCACGCTCAACATGTTTCAGATTCAAACACAAAAAAATATGTAATTACAATGCCATAATTACATGTTACCTCATAAGCATTTCACAACGAGAACGTACAAAACAACATTCCTAAAATTGCCTCGTGTGTATCTTCAACCATGTCCACCTGTCTATGTTGTACATGGCTCTCACAAGCCCTCCAGCCTCCTGATAAGCCTCTCAACTTGGCATCTCTCCTCTCCCAGTGGGACACTCCGAGCCACGGAGACTCCTGTATATGCTTTTGATTTATGCTGAGTAAAAAATAGATAAATAGCCCATAAACAAGACACAAAACGAGACGGCGGAAGGTCTGCTTTGAGTTAGTCTCATCCTGCTTTAGCTTTGGGCTTTAATTCAATTTTCCCCAAATAGACATTTCTCGTAGCTTGCAAACATGGCACTGTCACTGAACCAACTTTGGTTTTAATTCAATTTCATGGAGAAAAAAACTTGCGGTGTTTTGTTGACGAAAGAAATGCTGAATCTTATTCGACCTTTAAATGTTCACAGTTTCTCACAGCCAATATTGCAAGTCCCCAAAGAAGATTTGTCTCACAGTGCGTCTTCATCATGCTTGTGAAGGCCGTGCACGCCTCAACAATGCTTCTGTAAGATCACAAAAAAATACCCCGTTGCCATGGCAACCATCAATTAGAAATGTCGAGCTCTTAGACAGAAGTGAAGTGATAGTCGCCTCTGCAGGTCTGCTTACGGGAAATGTTATCCAATCAGTGCAAGAAGTATGGGGAATGAAATATGAAGAAATTGGAGGGATATGTTTTGAAAGAAGAGGGATTACTGCAACATTTCTTAGTCCAGCAACATGCCTCTCACTGCTGGCATATTACAGCTGTGCCTACCTTTTTCATCATGTAAAATATGAAAGCATTCCATTTTAGAAAAACGTCTCAGCTTTGGGTTACAGACCCAGAACTTAAATATCACTGAACTTAATAGTGCATATCAAAATGCTCTAAAAACTATATTTTGCTTATTTTCATATTTCAAAACTAAATGTTTCATTCCAGAAAGTATCACTTCCCATATGAACAAAATAGCTATCCCAAGAAGTAAACACATAGCAATCTCAAAAACTCCTTGAAATATCTCAATTCAACCTGGATCATTTCCAAACTACAATTTGTACAGGGAAAACAAGCCTGATTTTTCCAACCTTGACCTCAAGATCAGGTGAGCCGACAGACATAATTATACAAGTTCCCCCAACTGCTGCACCAGCCAACCAGCCTATACTGAGGTCACAGGGTGATAGCACAGTGACGCTTGAGTGCTTGGCTGACTTTACCAGCCAAGGGCACCTCCCCTCCCATTGTACAATGCTGTTGGCTCCCCCTACCCCTCCAACAGAGTGATGCTGTGACCTCAATACAGGCTGTTCCTCGCTAACCTTAATACAGAATGCTCCTCGGGTACTCTGTCATGTAAAGCCTGTTTTTTTCCACTGCATTAAATTCAGTTTGCGTTTCCTCTGCTGGGATCGAAATTTGATTTAAATCCTGACTTTGTTAACTGCATAAATGAAACTTATTTGCTTTCAATGTTTGAAATATTATCTCGAAAGAAGCTTTGTTAGCGGTCCGGAACTTGATGTCAACACAATATTCAAAGAAATCAGTGAAATATATATCCTTTATTACCGCCGACAATATTTAATAAGTCAAATACAAATTTCAAAAG